AAGGGTCGGTGTATCGCACGGAGATTTGTGAATGAACTCCCAGACTCGCTGGTCTGCGGTGGAAGTACAAGCACTGCAGGCGAATGATTCGTGAATCTGCCCGTGTGGATCCTTGACCGTTATCCCTTGCAAAGATCTGCGTGGTGGATTTTTTTTCCTCCTCCTAGGACTCTTACGTTTCCTCTGCCACGAAGCAAAATGCTCGTTTAAAATAATTGATCAAAATTCCCAATGCACGACCCTCCTAAACACGAGCCTTGAGACTCAGTGAAGCTTTTCTGGATACAAAAAATGCCATTCCAATGATTTTAAAGAGAAATGGTCAAACAGCCTAAGACACGATCCTGTTGAAAATGAGTCGTGAGACGTAGTGAGGTTTTCATTGACAAAAAAACGATCACGTTAACTATCATGAGCGTGCTGTTTGTTAAGTTTTAAAAAGGTTGACTACGCAGCTGGAGAATCACGTGAATTCGCGAACACACTCAAGTTAGAGACAGCATATTGATCGTCCAGAAGAGTGAGTGGGTGGATGGGTTTGAGCAGGACACGTCGCGAGAAGGGATGATGGCCGGCCGTCGAGACTAACTTGGGAGTGGCAGCCAAAAGGAGGGCAGATGGACATCCACCACGGAGATACAGAGAGGAAATCAGCTCGCGTGCAGGTGCTGGACGAATCGTCGCATCGCGGGACCGTGAGAGATGACAGCAGTGGATAGAACATAGCTGATGACAATGATGACGACGACGATTGTGACTATGCATATCGGACTTGACGCAGAGTCGAGGAGCTGTAAATGATCACCGTGGAGAGTTCCCAAGCGGGGGAGCTCGTGCACTGCCAGTGATCGATCTGGGACAGCATCACAATTAATTGTTTTTTACCCTTTTATCTGGCAACAAAACTGACACCTTTTTTACAAGGAGTCATGTTAACATAGACCACAATACCAGCAGTCATAATGCAAACAAAAACCATAACTCTGATAATGTATGCACTGTCCTTGAAGTTGATTGGTCCACACCCGAGACAGCATTCCTTAGAGCCTAGTCTCACATGGTGTTGGACCAGATGACGCCAAAAAAAGGTGTCAGTTTTGTTGCCAGATAAAAGGGTAAAAAACTATTATCATATTTTTTACTGGCAAATGAGGTTCCAATGGAGCATCGCAATTGTCGTCGTCATCGTCATCATGGTGGCCATGCACGTGACCTATAATGAATGCATACATATGTTGAACTTCTTTCGCACCGTACGCACCCAACCGTGATAATCGGAGGTGCGGCGGCGGCGTCGAGTTGGAAGTTTATCCAGCGCCGTGGAGGCAGCAGCGAGGGTTGCTGAATCACACAAATGCGTGAAACTCTCTTCGCGTGGACATCGAGATATGCGATACCCTGGCTTGTCTGGGGGAGAAGGCAGTACAGCAAATGTGTACGCCACTGCTTCCATAGGGAGAGAATACAGTGCTCTCACTTCGCACGCGTGGGTTTTCTGCGGTTGCCCCGGGTTACCTCCAATGCGTAAATACTCACGAATTGACTGATAACACCTTAACATATATAGAGGACTGCAGAGCTTTCTGGGGAGGGGCGGGGGCGATGAGGGGATGTGGCGCCAGCTTGCCGCGTGGCTGCTGCTGCCATCACGCTCAGAATCAGATGAGCTTCGAAGCTTTTTAATTCCACAAATATCCAGTCGTCCATAATAGTTTTTTTTATTATTACACGCTTTTATTTAACTCACTGTTATTGTTGTCGTATCCTCAAATATTGTAACTCAATTTTAACCCACTTCCCAATGTGGTATCGACTGCAAACTTGGTATACTTATGTCATACTGATGACAATACTATATTCTATCATAAAAAATAAAAGAAAGTATTTTAAAACAATATTTTTTATATGTTATGTTTCGGCTTGGCTCTAATTGTCCACGCTCAACTGACGTTGGCTGTAAATCACCACGGCCCCTTACGTTATGGCAAGCTTCGGGGCCACTTTCTGGAGTCGTGGACTTCTGCCATTACTCGTACGGTACATTTCATGAAAGCGTTTAAAAAAAAGTTTTTTTAAATATTACTTATTTTTGGGTTAGATGGATGATAGTGGTCGCGAAAGCCTCCGTGTTCAACTACAGTATCTCTCCAGAATCGGCGAGCGGACACTGCGTGCAGCGGTGTCGGAGCCGCATCTTTACAAATCAACGTTATTGTATTTTTTTATTATTATACATTTTTTGTATCATTCGCCAAAAATCACGAGGACTCGAAGCATGCCCCGCAGGGGTTGCGAGCGAGCTCCAGACAAACTCTTGTCAAGTCGGCCTTTGTGTTCCCCAAAACCACCACGTACTTCTGGTGTACAGGTGAACGTTAGCGGGGTGTTGGGGCGGGGGGAGGTAGTGTCTGTTAATATTTTTTATTTTTTCGTTCAACAATCCGCGGTGTAATTTAATGAGATGAAGGATCGCCGGCTCCGGGTCCTTGAGTCTCAGGGCACGCTGCCTCGAACAGCTCCCATCAATCATCGGCCTTAATTATTGCAGCCCCAGCCACACCACGTACCCAAGCGCCACCACCACCGCCACCACCACCGCCACCACCTCCCGCCTCCACCACTCTGCCCTCCTCCACAGCTCCTTCCCCAACCAACCCCCCCGACTCACCCAACCTGGCCGCTCCTCTTCCTCTCCCCCCACCTCGTGTTTTATATAAACATGCCAGCGAGCGTTGTTGGCTTCATGTGTGATGGATGTATGGCCGTGCTCAAAGTGACGTCTCCTGCCGTGTGATGGCGATGGTGATGATAGGCATGATTTGTACGTCAAGGTTAGATGACACAACAGGTGTTATAGGCGTTGTGCAGATGTAACCTGACCACGTTGTGGGCAGCAAGAGGGCAGCGCTGCAAAATCGGTTGCTGTGCTGCCGGGTCTGTGCCCGAACATCTTCTGCTCCACCGCCTTCACCAACCTGCGCTCCCACTGACCCAGTGTGGTGAAGTATGGTCAAACAACTCCCACAACTCGATCGGTGCGAGGAAGCCCTCGATCTAGCAGTGGATTGACCAGACGCAACTAATGGCTGCACACGTACTTTATAAACACTTGGCTTAAACGTCTTCACAGGACAGGGGCTCGCTTAACATACGCCACGCGGAGTGACGCCGGAGTCCAACAACCTCAGCTGTGCCAACGGACGCGTTATCAATATCATCGCCCCAGTGCATTCTCGCACTCTGCATGAGCTTCGCTTATTGCTTGCGAGTTGCCAGCGTGGATCCTGTTGCTGCCGTGAACTCAGAGTCACCTTCCTCCCCAGCGACCAGGTGACCCCCACCCCCCCAGAAAATCAACGATACGGAGCAGCAGCTGCGACAGATAGGGCTCCAGTTGACGCCTGTTTTGAGCTCAACGGCCGTTGGGGACGTATGCGGCTGGTGTGCTCGCAATCGGGCTCGCGAATCGGGCTTATCGCACACTTACCTGCACCGGACACACCACACGGGAACACGGGTAGCCTGATCCCCTGATCGCTATCAACTCCCACCGACAATTCGGTAAGCGAAATGCTGGGAGGCGCTGTGTTAAAATAATAATAAAAAATATATATTGGAAGGCACCCCACCGCAAAGACCCAGCGATGATGGCGCATGTAAGCTTACAACGGGCGGATGAGCTTGCACCGCCGAGAGCCTGGGTTCGAACCCATGTTTGGGTTCGATCCCATGTTTGATCAAACAGGGGCTGTCGAGCGTAGAGAGCCGATGGTCTCAGCCCGGTCACCAATCCACTGCACAAATAAAAAACATCGCATCACATTTTGGTTCTGCAGGTAAATTGCCTAAATTCCAGCTCTGATAATTAAATCAATTTGTCGTTTTTACTGTCACGAGACAAACTTTTTTCTGGGTGGCAGAGCGGGCGTGGAAGCGCTGCCCCCTTGCTGAGTTAGGATCAGAGGTCAATCACTTGAAGAGATCTCAGAAGCAGTTCTGTGACTTCCACTTCCACGGGCCTGTTATGCAACATGAATGGCCGCGCTGCTCTGCGAGAGATCCTAGTGGACTCGTCGTCTCCCGAGGCGACGTCGGTAATAGTGGGGATGAAACTGGGGCGGACATAGTCAAGGAGAAACAAGCAGCTGTCATCTTGAGCTTTCCAGATGGAGATCGGCGATGGGACGCCAGGCTCGTGAAGCTCGTGCATCCGACTTGGGGATCACGAGCACAAAGCTACGGCGAGACCGCGCGATTGATGTGGACGTTTGCACAAACAGGAGCGTGCGATGCACCAGCGCGGGTTACACAATTAGTCAACGTTTTTATTGCTTTGGTCCAAATATTTTTGCTCATTTCGTTACATTTGAGTTTCCCCTACGACACGAAGCCAGCTTCCCTTATCCTACTTATCCGACAATCGCCCCCCCCCTTCCCAGACCCGGAAAACCTGGATCCACATTCACAAACCCACACCCCTCCCCAGAAAACGCCACCATTCAAACTCGATCGTGTTGTCCACGTTATTATTTTTCACGATGCGCTACGGTAATACATCCAACGATGTAAGGATTACTTATAACGACATCATATAACAACCGTACCGTCAATTTATTAATGGATAATTCCGAATTGCTACCACGAACGTCAGTTATTGTTATTCCAGACGTATTTTGTCAAGAAATAAAATACACATATATAAAAAGTAAAATGGACAAAAATAAATCACCATGTGACGATCATTTTAAAAAGCGGACAATTCGATTATCGTTGATCTTGTACCGTACAATGTATCACAGTATCGCCATACCGCGGCGACCACAGTATTAACATAACTTCCCTCATCAGGCTCCACAACAAATACAGTCCTAGGTTCATGTCTGTTTTTTCACATTTTAAATGTAAAAAAAAGTTGTGTTAATTTTAGTAAAAAAAATGTAAGATACAGATAAAGTTTTTTTTTTTAAAGTGAGTATAGACGAAGGGCATTTATTTTCTCTCTTGCATCGGAGGGGTCGACGTAATCTCCCCCACTATCGTTTCACATCGCTCACTCGCTCACATTGCTTACTCGTGTCACGGTCAAGGGCCGAAGGGATAGAGGGCAAGAGGACGGAGCGGATCAGCTGGTGGCACAGCGTGAGCAGTCGGACTCTCGACGAGAGACGCCGACGATCGTCGTATATGGTTATTCGTCTGTCATGCACATCGACCCTCGGTTATGAGGATGACGCTATATAGATGGATAAGACTCACCCCCCCATCCACCCCAGCGGTGATCGCGAGCACCAATTACAACTTTTCATCCCTCTCCGGGTGGACAACTGTTGCTCTCCGTACACCCGAGCTCATCCCCGCGGCCTCATCCTCCCACATCCGACAGCTGCCGCCCCCCCCCCTCATCCCCCAACCACCACCAGGCACGGTGGACAGCTCATCAGAGAGCGACCGAGGGAGACCGGCCGGCTACTCCAGAAAGTACGTGGTGGTGTGCGTCGGGAAGGGGCTGGTGGTGATGAAGACGAAGATCTTGGCCACGAAGCTCGTGACCGTGCCCTGGCGGAAGAGCTTCATCTCCGCCTCGAGCAGGAAGTCGTGCGCTCCGCCTACGACGGGCCGTCGGAGCATCACGACGCCCGTGTGCGAGTTGAGCTTGCGCGTCGCAAAGTAGCCCAGCTCGTTGCCGGACGGGATGGACAGCAGGATGCTGTCGCCCGCGAAGGCCGGCGAGGGCCCGATGCGGAAGATGTTGGCGGGCGTGCGCACGCTGTCGGGGAACGTGAGCGCGTAGTGGGTGATGCGCGCCGGAGCGTCGGCGCAGCCCAGGTAGTCGTGGCACGAGATCCGCTCGCAGCGCCTTTCGGGGTCAAGCATGGGAGGGTAGTGAGAGAACCGGTGAGCAGGAACGGCTACGTACGGTGCGAAAGAAGTTCAACGAGCATACATTCAAAATGTGCACCTCCGATTAGCACAGTTGGCTAGGTACGGTGCGAAAGAACTTTAACATACATATATACCTCGAATAGTGCTTGAATGAAAAACTAGCACCGTGTGCACTTTTCTTAATGACCAAATATCTTAACCTTTTTCCAAGCCTGTATCTGAACTTTAGGTTGCTCCGGGGGCTAAGGTGGCAGCAGAGGGCATTGCAGGAAAATACATCCATTGTTTCCCTGTACAGCAACACCTAGACTTTCGTCCACTTGACTTTCGTCGCTTCGCTCTTTCGGCCGTTTTCAACGAAAACCACATTTCACATTTCGTCCACGCGGCTTTCCTCTTTCGTCCGATTTCATCCCCAAGCTTTTCATGACGTTCACGCCACGAGCCGTGTTTTTCGTTTTTGAAAAGAAGTCGTTCAGTGAGCATCTCATATATTTGTGTTTATTCGTATATTATGAATACTTTACTTATTTCTGTGATTAAACTGTAAACAATTCATAGTTACTACAGTGATTACTTATGCAGGAATAAAAACATTTCAAGGTATCATTTTGTTTATTTATTTAGATTTTAGTTTTATTTATTTATTGTTCATTTTTATTATATTTATGTTTATTTAGGTTTCGCGCGCATGTGTCATATATTTACTGTAGCTATTTGCATGTACGTTTCTATATTTACTGTAGTTATTTGCATGGACGTTTTTCGCCGGCCAAAATAAATTTGCAAGCTGAATAACGGCTCTGCTTTGACATTCGTCCATGCTCTGGTCCCTAACCAGACGAAAGTGCAAAGTATTCCTGTACTCTGTTCAACGCATACTGCTCCCTACCTTTAATAACCCGCAACGCCCAGCATGGTCCGACGTTTTGCCAAGTAGAAAAAAAATTGACCCACGATGTACTCGATTGGAATATATACACGTAGCGATAATTATCATCAACCTGGACTGAAAACTTGGCAGCACCCTCTTGAGGACTTCCCGTGTAAACACGCGTCAATAAATAGCTCCCAACGACCCGTAAGGCGCGGGGAGGCCCTCATGCCCCAGCAGACTGACAAAAGGAGCCGCAGATCACACAGGTGTACACAACAAAGACAAAGATCCCCCGTATAGCCTTAACAGACTGTAGGGGCAAGTGCTGTTAGCGAGCACCTATGAGGTGCACACGCACACACGCACACACACGTGCGCACGTACAATCTCGGGTTCGCTCGCACACTCACGTGTCCGACGCCCTGCGGTAGTTCGGCGGGCAGTCGTAGGAGAGGCACCGGAAGCTGCCCTGGATGTTGTAGCAGGTCTGGTCGGAGGAGCAGTTGTGGCTGCCCAGCGCGCACTCGTCCACGTCTGCAGAGCGGCAAAAGCGGCAGTGAGTCCAACGTTTTTTTTTAAAACAACGGCGCTACGCCTCTCTAAATAAAATTTACGCTGAGCCGCTATCGCGTTCAAAGATTGATAGGTGAACGGGACACCCGCCCTGCAACCCGCAGACGTCTGGGAACGGGAAAGGGTTCAATGGCCCCCCCTCTCTGTCCAATTTCTATCTTTGTAGCCCGGCACCGGAGCCCTTCCGGATCTCAGTGCAACCGGTGAGGTTGCACTGAGATCACTCGGGAGGGACGTGCCGGCTGTGCCACCGGCCGACAGCAGGGCCTGTGCCACGCGCAGCCGAATTTTATCTCGGCCGATCGTTATCGTCTGCGATGTCATTCGTTCAGACTCGAGGCATTCGCCTACGTGTTAGGAGCATGACGAGGCATCGATTCGTCGATTGAAATTGAATCTCGCGCTCGCGGTGCGCTGGTCGAATCGCAAGCGTGCCAGCCGGCTACTTGATAATGAATTCGTGGACTCTTCATGCAAACGTTTCGTTCAGAGCAAATTGTGCGAGCAAAATGTGCAAGCGAGACAGGGCAATAGAAACGCAATACAAATGAGAGGGTGCAAATGACACGAGAGAAAATGGAAGTCGCGAAAACGTGAATCGTGACCATTCCTCAACATTGCTGAAGACGCGTGTCAGATTGGAAGTTGCCTAATGGGAGCGTGGGAGCACGGACCGTTCCACCATTGCGCGAGGCAGACCTGGGAATAATCAAGGCTATCATCGCAGCTTTTCGGCACTGCAGCTAAATCGCTGGTGCTTGTCCACTTGCTCCCCATTGCTCGGCGCCTGAAAGCGTTTGTCTCAGTTGTCCAGGCGTGCTGCTGCAGCTGCTGCTGCTGCTGTTGCTGCTGCTGCTGTTGCTGCTGCTGCTGTTGCTGCTGCTGCTGTGCCACCTGCCGAAGGCGAAGAAGTCGCCCGATTATGAAATCCACCGCCCCCCCCGCCCCTCTGAGTAGTTGTCGTACCTCACGCGGTTTGCTTTATTACGTTTCTTTGAAGTTTCCTGCCCAGGGGCAGGTCCCTCCATCCTCCCCTCGCCAGCATTTATTGGGCAACGCTGTCACTGAACGCAGTTTGACGTCATAGCCTCCATACCCTCAAGCATCCAGCTTGCTCTGGCTGAGAGCTAGAGATCATCATCATCGTCGTCAGCCGTGTTGAATCCATTGCTAGATGGCGGCCGCGCCCTTCCGTGTTGGTCACGTGCGCTCATTCGACTATACTTCCCCACTTTTTGGGGAATGGACGTTTGTGAAGGAAGAGAATGGGGCAGCACAGGACCGGCGGTGCAGAGAGCACCCGCCACTGACGTGATAGCCGTGGCTGGGATTCCAACTCGGGTCACAACAGAGCGTTTCGTAAATCACGGGCGGTGACGCGGTCCCTGCTTGTTGCAGAGGTTCGCGGTTCGAATCCCAGCGGCCGCCCTGGCTATCACTGCGCTGTGTAATGACCGTAACAATACGACGACACGCCGTCTGCATCGCAGTGCCCGTTCAAGATTGCCCTGATTTCATTAGCAAAAGATTGTGGACCATCGTGTGCCATCGTGTGCCGGCGTTGGTGGTCCAAATTTTGCCAAATTTGAAAATTATCCACAAATTACTCAACTGGGATTATACACAGCAGCAATAATTGCCCCCCTTATGAGTAGACTAATACCCCAGGTCACTGTTGCAAATTAGACTATCAGACATTCCTGCCCTCTGGAATTCTCACCTGGCTAATTAGCATAAACTTGGGAAGTCAACTTTAACCACTGAACCACCGCTCCACCCATGTTCACATGTTCATATTAGCCTTTCTGAACAGCGCTGAACTCAATCAGAACTCCGATGCGCATTTGTCAGTGCGCGCCTGAACTCGAGCTAGCAAAGGTGCGTCGCTCACAAACAGCTGGAAGGCAAGACCCTCACAGTGGGGCACTACAGTGGTGAGATGTTAAATACTTCGCTTGGTATACAGGAGGTCGTGGGTTCCATCCCGATCCCAACCCTGACGCCTGTATATTTGGAGTGCATATTCTCCCCCGTGATCGCATGGATTTTTCTCCGGGTTCTGCGGTTTTTCCCTCCACATTTTAAAAAATGCGTTAAGAGTATTTGGCTGCTATACTTTTCCACGTGATTAGCCACTTCGTTGAGCTGTCATTTGTGGCCAGGCCATTTCTTTAAAAGAGCAAGATGACTCAGTGAGGCTTACCTAGTAAAATAAAAAAACTGTTTAGTTTAGTAAATAGACATAGTTATTCGTTTTAGGACTCCCATCATGCTTTGCACGCTTGTGATCTGACCACCACATTGCGTGCACAATGCTTCCAGTCTTGTCTAGACCACCGACTCAAAAGAGTTTGTTTCCACAACCTGCACGTATTTTCCCAACCTCGCTGAGCTTTCTCATCATTAAACAGAGAGAGAGTGCCCGATTTGCATTTTGCGCGCAAACTATCTAGCTACGGCCACATTCCCGCGGCTGTAATATTTTTTTTCGTTTAACCGCGGACGTGCAATACTTTCCATCGCTGCGCGTCGTATGCGACAGCCACACCGGCGCATAAATCATCGCCCGTCTCGCGGCCAGGGGGGTGGGGGGGGTGGGAAGGCCAAGGACGGCGCGGGCAACGGGTGGCAACGACTTCGTGGTGTTGTGTCTGCCCACGACAGGTTTATTACGCCCTTCGCAAGGGCGCGCTGCGTCAATGGCCTTTCCAGTTCGCGGGGAATCTGGAATGCCGTGCAGATGTTGTGCCTGTTTTATCTCTTCGCTATCGCAAGCCAACACTTCCTCTGATACCATCACAATGACAGGCTCTTTGGTTTCAGGTTATAATCTCAGATTTCGCACAATGCGTTTTTTTTTTACATTTTTTTTTTTGGACATGCTCAAGACGATGGCATTTTAAATAAAACAATGCCGTTAAGCGTGCGTTTTCAGTTTTCATTTAAACGTAAGGCAAATCAGCTCGATGTGCTGCCGATAAACTAACGGCATGGGTGTTACCGTTGTGTAATGGTTGGCGCACCGGACTTGCAAGTCGGTGGTCGCCGGTTCGATTCCGTGGCGCAGTAATTGAAATAACTTGCCGCAAGTTTCTTAAATCCCCCCCTTCCTCTCTCCTCTGCCCACTCAGCAATGTTAATGAGTGTTAGGCAATCGGCAGATCCTGTGTGGTGGGGTAAACTGTGGATAATGTAACCGCTTCCACGATATCTGGCAAGCGTGGAAGAGTAGGCCAAACACACACTAGAGGCCATACAACCATCAGAAGCATGGCCACGTAATTGCAGGGCTGCACCTTCACAATTTTTTTAAAAGCTAATCGTAAGTGTCGTTTTTTCCAGCTTTTTAACGTATTATAATAATAACATTACTTTTTTTATGAAGCTTGGCACACACACGTAACTTTCTTTGTATTCGCTGCGCGGGGGTATCATTACACTGCCAGTTACAGTCAGGGCAGTAAGTGACTCGGGCTATTGACACACGAGGAGGGCTTAATAGGGCGCTTAGGCAATTTACAGCACGTTGAACAGGGGGGGGGGGCAGGGGGTGAGCTGAAGCGGGAGCCACACACGGCGCGGTGTATCATGTGGCAGGATCGCACCACGCGACGACGCTCACCTAGTCCATCACCTGCCACAACATCCTCCCTTTACCCCCTCCTCCTCCCCGCCGCCGCCGTGCCTCCACAGCCAATCTCTCAACTGGCCCTCCCCACACGCACACAACTCCCGTACAGGCACCATTATTACCACTCCTGCATCTAGCCAACACCCCCCCCTCTCTCCTCCTCATCCCCACCGTCGTTCCAGCCACTTCACCCCAACACTAATCTACCCAAGCGAGCAACCCTCATGCCCCCACGCCACTCACCCGGCTCATTCCCCCTCAACCTCCTCCCACCCCCCGCCTCTCCAGCTCCTCTCTGATGTTCACCTGTACTGTAGCTACCAGGGGTGGAAGGCAAATGACTCATTTGGGATTACAAGGGCAGCACCTCCGATTAGCACGGTTGGCTAACTTTACGGTGCGACAGAAGTTCAACATACATACATTCTTATAGCAGTCACTGCTACCACCCCCCGCTACTGCTGGACTAGTGTCCACTTGCGGGCCGTGTCCTGAGTCACCGTGTGCCGCGCAGGGACAGCTGCCACCGGGGGTGCCCTTTCGAATGCGATGTGAAGTCGCTTGTCGCGTGTGACCCGTTCTGATACGCCCAGGCATAAAACGGCGTTTGATGAACCATCACGCAAAGCACAAACCACCACGAGAACTACCGGCATTCCCACAGCGCCTTCTGGCTCGCCATCGAACAAAGACGGTCACAGCATCGCGCGCTTTCAGGCGCATTTCTGCGGCCGTCTGGAACGCTCTTCCTTCCGACATTAGGAAGCAACCGGAACTATGCACTTGTAAATCATCTCGATTGAAAACTCATTGGTTTACAACTGCTTTCTGTATTTAGTTTGTCCTTCCTCCCACACCTCCGATTAGCACGGTTGGCTATGTATGGTACGAAAGGAGTTCAACATACATACTTTGATAAAAAAAAAATCATCTTAATTTTCATGAATGATCCACTGACTTCCAGCGATTCAATTCATTCGCCCCGATTCAGGGTCAAGATTCGATTCAAGAAAAAAATATGATTTTACTTTGTTGTGAATGTAGCGGCCACCAGTAGCTGCAGGGGTCAAGTAAACCTGTTGCTGGAGTGGAGAGTGTGTGGTTGAGGGGTAGAGTGAGATGAGAGGGGAGAGGTAGGAGAGTGCATGGAGGGGTGTAAAGTGAGATGAGAGGGGAGAGGTAGGAGAGTGCATGGAGGGGTGTGAAGTGAGATTAGAGGGGAGAGATAGGAGAGTGTGTGGTGGGGTGGGGTAGAGTGAGATGAGAGGGGAGAGGTAGGAGAGTGTGTGGTGGGGGGGGGTAGAGTGAGATGAGAGGGGAGAGGGAGGAGAGTGTGTGGTGGGGGGGTAGAGTGAGATGAGAGGGGAGAGGTAGGAGAGTGTGTGGTGGGGGGGTAGAGTGAGATGAGAGGGGAGAGGTAGGAGAGTGTGTGGTGGGGGGGTAGAGTGAGATGAGAGGGGAGAGGTAGGAGAGTGTGTGGTGGGGGGGTAGAGTGAGATGAGAGGGGAGAGGTAGGAGAGTGTGTGGTGGGGGGGGTAGAGTGAGATGAGAGGGGAGAGGTAGGAGAGTGTGTGGTGGGGGGGTAGAGTGAGATGAGAGGGGAGAGGTAGGAGAGTGTGTGGTGGGGGGGTAGAGTGAGATGAGAGGGGAGAGGTAGGAGAGTGTGTGGTGGGGGGGTAGAGTGAGATGAGAGGGGAGAGGTAGGAGAGTGTGTGGTGGGGGGGGTAGAGTGAGATGAGAGGGGAGAGGTAGGAGAGTGTGTGGGGGGGGGGGGTAGAGTGAGATGAGAGGGGAGAGGTAGGAGAGTGTGTGGTGGGGGGGGTAGAGTGAGATGAGAGGGGAGAGGTAGGAGAGTGTGTGGTGGGGGGGTAGAGTGAGATGAGAGGGGAGGGGTAGGAGGGTGTGTGGTGGGGGGGTAGAGTGAGATGAGAGGGGAGAGGTAGGAGAGTGTGTGGTGGGGGGGTAGAGTGAGATGAGAGGGGAGAGGTAGGAGAGTGTGTGGTGGGGGGGTAGAGTGAGATGAGAGGGGAGAGGTAGGAGAGTGTGTGGTGGGGGGGTAGAGTGAGATGAGAGGGGAGGGGTAGGAGAGTGTGTGGTGGGGGGGTAGAGTGAGATGAGAGGGGAGAGGTAGGAGAGTGCGTGGAGGGGTGTAAAGTGAGATGAGAGGGGAGAGGTAGGAGAGTGCATGGAGGGGTGTAGAGTGAGATTAGAGGGGAGAGGTAGGAGAGTGTGTGGTGGGGGGGTAGAGTGAGATGAGAGGGGAGAGGTAGGAGAGTGTGTGGTTGAGGGGTAGAGTGAGATGAGAGGGGAGAGGTGGGAGAGTGTGTGGTGGGGGGGTAGAGTGAGATGAGAGGGGAGAGGTAGGAGAGTGTGTGGTTGAGGGGTAGAGTGAGATGGGAGGGGAGAGGTAGGAGAGTGTGTGGTTGAGGGGTAGAGTGAGATGAGAGGGGAGAGATAGGAGAGTGTGGTGGGGGATAGAATGAGATGAGAGGGGAGAGGTAGGAGAGTGTGTGGTGGGGGGGTAGAGTGAGATGAGAGGGGAGAGGTAGGAGAGTGTGTGGTTGAGGTGTAGAGTGAGATGAGAGGGGAGAGATAGGAGAGTGTGGTGGGGGATAGAATGAGATGAGAGGGGAGAGATAGGAGAGAGTGGCGGGGGGTAGAGTGAGATGAGAGGGGAGAGGTAGGAGAGTGCGTGGAGGGGAGTAGAGTGAGATGACAAGGGAGAGGTAGGCACGTGCGAGTCAATGGAGGTGCTTGCACACTGTGAGTGTGATGTAAGTTGATTTGATTGCTTTAGGAGCCAGCGGAGGAATCGGGTTATTGGGGCGACGTGGCCTCATTTCGAGGCATGTTGGGTCACACTCCATGGGCCTCCGCGTGGCAAGGCAGAGTGGCAGCGACCTCACCTCGGCAGCCTCGTCCGTTGGGAGAGTGGGTGTAGCCAGTGTCGGGGCACTCGCACTGGAAGCTGCCCTCGGTGTTCACGCAGCGGAACGCGCACAGCCCCTCCGCCTCGGGCAGCGAGCACTCGTCCACGTCTACATGGAGAGACGCCGTGCATGTTGACATCGTCATCGTCACCGTCGCCATCACCAACAGCAATAAAATCGCCTTCGTCGTAATCATTATCCTCTTAGTTTATACATGTAAATCTCAATCGTCAACACAATCGTAGTGATCGTCATCACCACCACCACCACCCCCACCGACGTAAACATTTATCAACGTCATCATCTATCAATGTCATGATCATCAACACAATGATCACAATCATCATCAGTCTAATTATCCAACATCGTAATTGATCAAGATCATTTAGTATCGTCGTCATCGTCGTCATCAATCAACACCATCATGAATCTACATTATCTTAGCCATCGCCCACATGCCATGCCGGTTTTGAGCCACAGGGATCTCTGCTAGCTCAGCACGGAGGCGTCTCCCACCTGCCTGCAGGTATTCTGGGAAACCACGATCTGATAAGTGAATAATTTACAAACCCAGAGATCATCACAATACCTCCCTGATCTCATAAACCATCACGCGAACTCCGGTCATCCTCGCAGCGAATTTTGGCGAGCCATTGAATCAGGACGGTTACCGCATCGCGCGCTTTCAGATGGCCATCTGGAACGCTCTTCCTTCCGATATTAGGAAGCCACTGGAGCTATGCACTTTTAAATCTACATTTAAAACATTTTTCCTTAGAACTGCGTTTTGTGTTTAGTTTGTTGTCCTTCCCCCGCCCGTCCGAGTAGCACGGCTGTCTAGGTGCGGTGCGAAAGAAGTTCAACGTACAGTACGTCTCTCGTGGCCCAAGCCTATCCCGTTCACGGGCCCTAACCAGACGCTGACGTTGTCGCTGCAACTGGATTGTGACACAACGTTCGTGGTAGCAGCAGATGATTCGGCAGCATTTATCATCAAAGTTGGCCAAGCATTCCAATGTGGCAGGACCCTCCTGAAAGAAGAGTCTCAAGACTCGGCGAGCCTTTTCCTGGGTACAGGAATGACAACACCATTGCTTCATCGGTGGGAGTGAATATAGATATTCCTGGAGGAACACATATTCTGGGTGGACAAACAGTACATAAAGGGTGGTCCAAAAGTCAAGATGCATAGGGTTATTCTATTAATATTTTTAAAAAAGGACAAACTTAATTCCCTTAGTGTTTATGCATGCACGAATCCAATTTTGAAATTAATTTAGGACTTTTTTTTTTTCGTACTTGAGTGCACATGAGATCAAATTGAATTTATTCCGTTCGTCTTTAGTCAATTTAGTTTAAAATTGTATATGTCACCTGAAAAGGAAGAATAAAATATATATATACATTGAATAATGAGAAAGTATTAACTTAAGGAATAAGCAATTAAATGTGCTAATACCAGTGTTAAAATAACTAAAACAACCCTATTTGTGCTGACTTTTGGACCACCCGGCATATTCTCTTGAGGCTTGGGGCACATAAATGTGCTCGGTGAGGAGTGCAGTGAGGGAGGCTGCGGTGAAGGAGGGCGCGGTGAGTGGGGGTGAGGTGGGTGGGGGTGAGGTGGGTGGGGGTTGGGTGAGGAGTGTGCGGTGAGGGGGGTGAGGTGAGGGGGGGACACGGTGAGGAGTGTGCGGTGAGGGGGGACACGGTGAGGAGGGTGAAGTGAGGGGGGGGGACACGGTGAGGAGTGTGCGGTGAGGAGGGTTCGGTGAGCGGGAACACGGTGAGGAGCGTGTGGTGAGGCGGAGGGGGGGGGGCGGCGAGGTGAGCGTGTGGTGAGGCGGGGATGGGGCCGCGGTGAGGAGAGGGCACGGCTCGCGCGCCGGCACCTTGGCACGTGGTGTGGTCGGCGGTGCTGAGCTCGTAGCCCGGCAGGCAGTAGCACTGGAAGGAGCCGTACGTGTTGCTGCACTCCTGGCCGCACAGGCCGCTGGAGCACTCGTCAATGTCTGTGACACAGCGGTGGGAGGGCAGGAGGAGGAGGACGACGTTCAACAGCGGTAAGGTCGTGGGAGTGGAACAAGAGGGCCACCTTGTGGCAAGGGAGGGAAAGAAGCGCCTGGACCCGAGATGGAAACGCGAAGGAAAACCGAACGTCGCGGCATCCCAGTGGATGCATGTGCATATTCGACGAACAAAAAGCTCTACTCGTTTCCATGAAGAGCCACGCAAAGACAGGCGTTAGCAGGCATTGCCCAGTGAACATGCAATGTCGAGACAGCATTGGGTGACATTAGAGCAACGTTGTAATTTCGTACAAGTAACCCTCTACTCACTCAGCTAACCCTCTACTCACTCAGCTAACCCTCTACTCACTCAGCTAACCCTCTACACACTCAGCTAACCCTCTACACACTCAGCTAACCCTCTACACACTCAACTAACCCTCTACTCACTCAGCTAACCCTTCACACACTCAGCTAACCCTCTACTCACTCAGCTAACCCTCTACACACTCAGCTAACCCTCTCCTCACTCAGCTAACCCTCCACACACTCAGCTAACCCTCTACTCACACAGCTAACCCTCTACTCACTCAGCTAACCCTCTACTCACTCAGCTAACCCTATACTCACTCAGCTAACCCTCTACACACTCAGCTAACCCTCCACACACTCAGCTAACCCTCCACACACTCAGCTAACCCTCCACACACTCAGCTAACCCTCTACACACTCAGCTAACCCTTTACTCACTCAGCTAACCCTCTACACACTCAGCTAACCCTTTACTCACTCAGCTAACCCTCCACTCACTCAGCTAACCCTCTACTCACTCAGCTAACCCTCTACACACTCAGCTAACCCTCTACTCACTCAGCTAACCCTCTACTCACTCAGCTAACCCTCGACACACTCAGCTAACCCTCCACACACTCAGCTAACCCTCTACACACTCAGCTAACCCTCTACTCACTCAGCTAACCCTCTACTCACTCAGCTAACCCTCTACTCACTCAGCTAACCCTCCACTCACTCAGCTAACCCTCTACACACTCAGCTAACCCTCTACACACTCAGCTAACCCTCTACTCACTCAGCTAACTCTCTACTCACTCAGCTAACCCTCCACTCACTCAGCTAACCCTCTACTCACTCAGCTAACTCTCTACACACTCAGCTAACCCTCTACTCACTCAGCTAACCCTCTACTCACTCAGCTAACCCTCTACACGCTCAGCTAACCCTCTACTCGCTCAGCTAACTCTCTACACACTCAGCTAACCCTCCACTCACTCAGCTAACCCTCTACTCACTCAGCTAACCCTCCACTCACTCAGCTAACCCTCTACTCACTCAGCTAACGCTCCACACACTCAGCTAACCCTCTACACACTCAGCTAACCCTCTACTCACTCAGCTAACCCTCGACACACTCAACTAAACCTCTACACACTCAGATAACCCTCTACTCACTCAGCTAACCCTCTACTCACTCAGCTAACCCTCCACACACTCAGCTAACCCTCCACACACTCAGCTAACCCTCTACTCACTCAGCTAACCCTCTACACACTCAGCTAACCCACTACTCACTCAGCTAACCCTCTACTCACTCAGCTAACCCTCTACTCACTCAGCTAACCCTCTACTCACTCAGCTAACCCTCTACTCACTCAGCTAACCCTCCACTCACTCAGCTAACCCTCTACACACTCAGTTAACCCTCTACTCACTCAGCTAACCCTCCACTCACTCAGCTAACCCTCTACACACTCAGTTAACCCTCCACTCACTCAGCTAACCCTCTACTCACTCAGCTAACCCTCTACACACACAGCTAACCCTCCACACACTCAGCTAACCCTCTACTCACTCAGCTAATCATCCACACACTCAGCTAACCCTCTACTCACTCAGCTAACCCTCTACTCACTCAGCTAACCCTCTACTCACTAAGCTAACCCTCTACTCACTCAGCTAACCCTCTACTCACTCAGCTAACCCTCTACTCACTCAGCTAACCCTCTACTCACTCAGCTAACCCTTCACACACTCAGCTAACCCTCTACTCACTCAGCTAACCCTCTACTCACTCAGCTAACTCTCTACACACTCAGCTAACCCTCCACTCACTGAGCTAACCCTCTACTCACTCAGCTAACCCTCTACACACTCAGCTAACTCTCTACACACTCAGCTAACCCTCCACACACTCAGCTAACCCTCTACTCACTCAGCTAACCCTCCACACACTCAGCTAACCCTCTACTCACTCAGCTAACCCTCTACTCACTCAGCTAACCCTCTACTCACTCAGCTAACCCTCTACTCACTCAGCTAACCCTCCACTCACTCAGCTAACCCTCCACACACTCAGCTAACCCTCTACTCACTCAGCTAACTCTCTACACACTCAGCTAACCCTCCACTCACTCAGCTAACCCTCTACACACTCAGCTAACCCTCTACTCACTCAGCTAACCCTCTACTCACTCAGCTAACTCTCTACTCACTCAGCTAACCCTCTACACACTCAGCTAACCCTCTACACACTCAGCTAACCCTCCACTCACTCAGCTAACCCTCTACACACTCAGCTAACCCTCTACTCACTCAGCTAACCCTCTACACACTCAGCTAACCCTCTACTCACTCAGCTAACCCTCTATTCACTCAGCTAACCCTCCACACACTCAGCTAACCCTCTACACACTCAGCTAACCCTCCACTCACTCAGCTAACCCTCTACTCACTCAGCTAACCCTCCACACACTCAGCTAACCCTCTACACACTCAGCTAACCCTCCACTCACTCAGCTAACCCTCCACTCACTCAGCTAACCCTCTACTCACTCAGCTAACCCTCTACTCACTCAGCTAACCCTCCATTCACTCAGCTAACCCTCTACTCACTCAGCTAACCCTCTACACACTCAGCTAACCCTCTACTCACTCAGCTAACCCTCTACACACTCAGCTAACCCTCTACTCACTCAACTAACCCTCTACTCACTCAGCTAACCTTCTACTCACTCAGCTAATCCTCTACACACTCAGCTAACCCTCTACTCACTCAGCTAACCCTATACTCACTCAGCTAACCCTCTACACAATCACCAACTCTGCGCGTCACCTTTTTGCTCGAGTCCACACATTTATTCTCAAAACACAAGCACCATAACACGAGATCACACACGTCGCCTAGTGCGCGCACGCACGCACGCGGGCACACACGCAACGCCACGAGGCTATCTCGTGTGTTTTCGAGTTGTATTTTTCTCCCCGCATGCTCCTTGAGCGACGCGCGGCAACGTCGGCGCTTGGAGACCACGATGTTTTCCTCAAACAACTCGTGCGGTGGATGGCCATCGCGACGGGCCCCAGCCGCCGGGTCACAACAAGGCGCGCGAGCCCGAGTCACTACGGCGGCGCGGTTTTACTCACAATGAAATGGCGAGGCTTTTAAGAGTTTAAAGACAACCGAGAAGTCGCCCACATTTAGTTTAGATATAAAGCAGCGCCGGGGCGGACTAAAAGGTCACGATGATTTACATCTAAAGGGGATTTTCTTTCACGCAAGTTGTAATGCCGCCTAGAAGCCAGCTGATAATATAATGGTGTCGCTGCGAGGGCACATTGGCCCCGCGCGTGACCTTTACCACGGCGAGAATTTTCTCGCCAAATGAGGGCATTTTTTTTTCTTCCGACAGGTGCGCACGCGATAATAAAAAAAACAACGTTTTGCTGATCTGCATTAATGTTAGAGAAAAATAAAAAAAACCTCGCCGCTGGTCTTCCGTCGTAGAAAAAAAATGTATAATGCCTTAAATTCCGTATATGTTTCACCCTGTCGCGTCACGGTCACTCAAGGCTCGTTGACCGGGCTAGAAAGTGGAAAGTGGCCTGGGGTCTCAGGGATGACAGGTCAGAAATGCTCAGAAATTGACTGAAAACATCTTGAACTAAAACAAAATCCTCCTGAAAAACAGCCCTAGGACTCAGTGTGGCAATCCTAGATAATCAAGTTATTATAATATTGCGAGGGAGACTGAGCTCGGCTTGTGTGGGCGACCAGGATAAGTATGTAAGTGATGATGCAGCGATTCATTGATCTAAGTAAATTATTACGCCGACGATTCTCGAGTAAAATAGTGCACGTAGCACGTAAGAAATTAAACGATGAGTTACAAACGAGTCGGAACAAAATGAGAAACAATATGAAAGAGAGAGTGAACATGAGACGCAATAAGTTATTCTTGGATCATATCGCGGCGCTGAATTGTGCCGATCCATCGAACTGCTGAGTGGTGAATGGTTACATACGTAGAAGGTGGTGTGGTTCAGGGTTGGGCGGCAAAAACCAGAGTGACCCAGTGATAGCCGAGGAGTGACCAGGATTGCAGGATTGGAGTACCCAGCGTTAGGTGATACAGACTAGAGTAGCCCAGGCTGAGCTAGGGGTGACTAGGGTTTAGTGTCCCAGGGTGAGGTGGCCCAGGCTGAGCTAGGGGTGGCGAGGGTTTAGTGTCCCAGGGTGAGGTGGCCCAGGCTGAGCTAGGGGTGACTAGGGTTTAGTGTCCCAGGGTGAGGTGGCCCAGGCTGAGCTAGGGGTGGCGAGGGTTTAGTGTCCCAGGGTGAGGTGGCCCAGGCTGAGCTAGGGGTGACGAGGGTTTAGTGTCCCAGGGTGAGGTGGCCCAGGCTGGGTTAGGGGTGACTAGGGTTTAGTGTCCCAGGGTGAGGTGGCCCAGGCTGGGCTAGGGGTGACTAGGGTTTAGTGTCCCAGGGTGAGGTGGCCCAGGCTGAGCTAGGGGTGACTAGGGTTTAGTGTCCCAGGGTGAGGTGGCCCAGGCTGGGTTAGGGGTGACTAGGGTTTAGTGTCCCAGGGTGAGGTGGCCCAGGCTGGGCTAGGGGTGACTAGGGTTTAGTGTCCCAGGGTGAGGTGACCCAGGCTGGGCTAGGGGTGACTAGGGTTTAGTGTCCCAGGGTGAGGTGGCCCAGGCTGAGCTAGGGGTGGCGAGGGTTTAGTGTCCCAGGGTGAGGTGGCCCAGGCTGGGTTAGGGGTGACTAGGGTTTAGTGTCCCAGGGTGAGGTGGCCCAGGCTGGGCTAGGGGTGGCGAGGGTTTAGTGTCCCAGGGTGAGGTGGCCCAGGCTGGGCTAGGGGTGACTAAGGTTTAGTGTCCCAGGGTGAAGTGGCCCAGGCTGGGCTAGGGATGACGAGGGTTTAGTGTCCCAGGGTGAGGTGGCCCATGCTGGGCTATGGGTGACTAGGGTTTAGTGTCCCAGGGTGAGGTGGCCCAGGCTGAGCTAGGGGTGACTAAGGTTTAGTGTCCCAGGGTGAGGTGGCCCAGGCTGGGCTAGGGGTGGCGAGGGTTTAGTGTCCCAGGGTGAGGTGGCCCAGGCTGGGCTAGTGGTGACTAGGGTTAAGTGTCCCAGGGTGAGGTGGCCCAGGCTGGGCTAGGGGTGACTAAGGTTTAGTGTCCCAGGGTGAGGTGGCCCAGGCTGGGCTAGTGGTGACTAGGGTTTAGTGTCCCAGGGTGAGGTGGCCCAGGCTGGGCTAGGGGTGACGAGGGTTTAATGGCCCAGGGTGAGGTGGCCCGGGATCGATCTGCCAGGGGTTCCTGGCCCCTCGTGGAGACTGTGCATACCCTCGCAGTTCTTGCCATCGGCCGCCAGCCTGAATCCCTCGCCGCACGAGCACTGGAAGGAGCCCTCGGTGTTGTCGCACGTCTGTGCGCACAGCCGCCCCGGGTACTTCCAGCACTCGTTAACGTCTGATTGGCAAACAGACACAAAGACAAAAATAACCTTTCATTGACTGCTAGGGCATGGGCTGCTAGGGAGCACCTATGAAGGCCAACATGGCACACAAGGGGGTGGGTGGCCAACACCATGCCCGGCCGCCGTTATCTCCCCAATGCAAATGTTTACACAGTGCCCCTGGTACTCATTTAAGGCTGAGTTGACCTAGGGGAGGCCCAGGATCAGTTTAGATATCCGTCACCGTTGTTGGCTGTGAGCGGGAACTGAACTCGGGTCGGTGGATACAGGGGCTGGTAGATTATGCTGGCAGGTAGGGTGCCGGTGGTGTGTAGGTGCATACCGGTGGCTTGCCAGGGACACACAGGAGAAAGCTTGATGGCTTATGGGTGCATTTGTGAGTCGAGCCGACAATGGCAGCGGTGCCGGTTGGCATCAACGCGGGCGCCCTCACCGACGCAGGTGCGTGTTCGCACGTCGAACTCGTAACCCGTGCGGCAGTCGCAGCGATAGGTGCCCGGAGCGTTCTGGCAGAACTGGTCTTCGCCGCACGTGTGCACACCCGTCGAGCACTCATCCACGTCTCCGGAAAGAAGAAAAAAACAAAGACCAAATAAGTGCGCAAATAAAAAAATTTCAGTGGATGCCGGTTCTGCAACGCGACCCGACGCACGCTTGTGCACGGAAGTGTGTGTGCATGACACACAGTCACCGTACCCAAACATCTGGCCCAATATGTGTTGTGTGCGTGATACACAGTCACCGTACCCAAGCATCTGGCCCCATGTGTGTGGTGTGCGTGACACGTGGTCGCCGTACCCACGCATCGGACTCCATCGGGGGAGGCGTGGTATCCGCGCCCACATAGGATGAGCGTCCTCTGGCAGGTGAACGATCCCACCGTGTTGATGCAGTTGAAGCCAGGGCGGCACGGCGCCGAGCCGGATGAGCACTCATCAATGTCTGAAGCGAACGATGGTGACGATGAATAATAATATTAATTATTATGATGATCATTTGCAGCCCATTGTCAATCCACTGCCGGACGAGGGCCTCCTCAATCCTATTTCAGCCGTGGTGGTTCTTTGACCACACTTCACCAATCTGGGTTTGGTGAAACGGGAGGCCCAGGACGGGTTCAGATGTCACTCGCATCTGATTTATCAGTCGAGGCCAGGAATCAAACTCAGGTCACCAGGTTCATCGCACAGTATGCTAACCACTGTTGCACTGCTCCATGATGCTGCTGATGATGATGATGATTAGAATATCAATGGCGTTATCAGTTTTGACAATGATGGCAATGATGATGGTGACAACGATGGAACACTGGCGCACTGCTCACCGGCACAGTTGCCCACGAGGTCCTTGGTGAAACCTTCTCCGCAGTGATTTCGAGGTCGGCACAGGAAGGAGCCCTGCGTGTTCTGGCACTCGTTGCTGGGGCCGCAGCTGTGGCTGCCTGTCAAGCACTCGTCCACATCTGCGACGGGAGCAGCGGCAGCGGCAATGATCACAATCACTCGCTCAAACTCAATGGCATAGCTATCAAGGAGTGTGTGCAGGCGGTGCAACTGCCCGGGGCCACAGACAACAGAGAGGCTCAGATGCCGGGCTACGAAGAGGAGCACTAGGCAGGGGTGAGTGCGAGCGGTTGGCTGAGGGCACACATTGAAGTCGATAGTGACCAGGCTAAGACCATTAATTTACTAGAGCAGAAAACCCGATTAAATCGCACTTGGTTCTGGATTCGAACCCAGAATCTCAGCAGTGCCAGATCAGCGCTCTGACATCTGAGCCACCTGATCACCTCCACCAAGCATCATCTTAAAGCTCTGGTAAAACATCGGTGGCTGCAACAACATCATATGTCTGGATGCCCCATAATCCAATATATATGTACACATATACACATAGTGTGGTTCATCCAAGCGCTACGGTCCTATATCTATTAATACTACTTAAAAATATTGAATAATTTTTATTTTGCCAGGTGAGGCCCACTGAGCTATACACCTCTTTTTTAGAAGTGACCTTGCCACGAAAAAATAGCTCAACCAAGTGGCTTATCATGTGGAGCACGTGGATAAAAATCCATGGGACCACGGGGAGAGAGCAACACGCAAACTCCAAATATACAGGAGTCGTCAGGGTCGTGATTGAACCCATGACCTCCTGTATACCAGGCTAAGGAGTTAAGATCTCACCATTGTGGCACCCATATCGCCATGTTTGGCCAACCGCATGGGGGAGAGAGAGAAATATAGGAGGCTGTGGCACGGCCTCTGGCTGCTGTACCCGTGCACTGGTTGTCGAAGCCCATCTGGAAACCAGGAATGCAGGGCACGTTGAGCTCGCACTGGAAGGAGCCCACCGTGTTCACGCAACGCTGGCCAGGCAGGCACGTGTGTGACTCCACCAGGCACTCGTTCACGTCTGGCCAGAGGGAGGAAGGGTGAGTATGTGGCTCAGTGCAAGCACATCTGTAAAAACAGCATTATAGCTCATCGGATTTCTCCAGTATAAATAAATATTCTGATTCTGTTATCACCTGTCCTTGCCTTTTACCTGCCCTCCTACCTCACCTTTCACTTCTCACCATCGTCTCCGGTTCCACCTTCTTACAAAGCCCACGGTCAACCTTCGTTCCCTCGGAGGTCGCTCCTTCTCGGCTTCTGCTCCTGAGGGTCTGGAATTTTCTTTCCCTAGAACTCCGTGCGGTTGAGACTGCTGCTGCCCTTGTCCAAGTCAAGACTTAAGAGCCCATCTGTTTTCATGCTATGTTTTTTTCTTCATGTGAAGCGCCTGCAGATACGGTTGAATTTAGATGCTGCTATATGAATGTAAAATGTATGGTGTAATTGTCCTGGTTTTCCAAAGTATCGTCATGTGGTTGAGGTATCAGCTGTCGTGTATTTCTTCACAGGACCCGGGGAGTTTAGTGCTGGATACAGCAGCCACGATTTCAAATGTGATTTGTAACTTTGATCCTTAGCTGTGTGTATCGATAGTTCACTGTTAATGTGCCATTCTATCGAGGGACTACTATGGTGTGGTATGGGTCTGTTATGTTGTTGTTTTTGCTGCCTTGCCCAAGATTGATAAACCGGGGTTATATAATGTATTTATTGTGTATTTTTATTTTAGTGACCCGCTTACCTTTTTCTCTATTTTGCACTCCTCCGATCGGTTTTTTTTCTATCGTTTACTGTTGTTACCTGCATGACCCGCCCATACTGGACACGTGTGAAAAAAAGAGCTTCACTACTCATCGGATTCCTACCCCCGGCCTAAAGATTCCGATTCTAGATTCTCCGTTTTGTTTTGCCGGCCGCGAGGGGCCTGCCGTACTGCTCAGGGTAAGAATTATACGGGGAATTTAGATTTTCTCACGGCTGGGTGCCGATTGGCCGATGCCAGTCACCGTGGCAGTGCGGGGTCCAGGTTGGGCCCGCCACACTGATTAACTCATATTTGTTAGTTCCCTTGCTCAATTTGACTCCTTTTGTCAGCGCCTCCACCGGCCGCCTTGGAGAGATAGCATCGCGGGCGCGCTGAATGGCATCCAAATCAGCCTGCAAAATGCGATTTAATGAGTCGTGTGGACAAAAAAAATGCAATTGTCGTTCCGTGATCAGAGTGAAGGGGTGTGGGGGTGGTCGCCCCTCGGGATCGGTGTTCGTGGCTGGGAAAGGTCACCTTGGCAGGTGTGTCCATCCTCTTTGAGCTCGTGGCCCGCAAAGCACGAGCACACGGCGGCCAAGCCCGTGTCGTGGCACTGCTGCGAGCAGGGGCCCCCGCCTGCACGCGCCACCCACGCAAGCACGCGGAGTGAATGCAAAGACAAAGAAGCTGCCGCTGTGGCGAGATGTTAACAACCCCGCCCGGTATACAGGAGGTCGTGGGTTCAATCCCAAACCTGATGCTTGTATATTTGGAGTTTGCATCTTATCCCTGTGGTCGCGTTAATTTTTCTCCAGCTCCTCCGGGTTTTCCCTCCACATTTAGAATCAGCATGCGTTTAGAGTGTTTGGCTGATATAAATGTCCACGTGATAAGCCACTTTGTTGGGCTATCATTTGTGGCCAGGTTGCTTATGAAAACGAGCTATATCGCTCAATGGCCTTACCTGGTAGAATACAAATAGTTTAGTTTTAACCCCCGCCCCCCTAAATAACCTAAACAGATTACTGGCATAAGTGCTGTTAGCGAGGGTGAGAACCTCCTTCCCTCAGCCGTACAAAATCAGCAGGGGATCAAATACTTTTTTCCCTCACTGTATGAAGGCCAGCATGGAAACACGAGAGGGTGGGTGGCCAGCACCACGCCTGGCCGCCTTTGTCTCCCTAACGAGGATGTTTTTTTTTCTGTACACACCCGATACTCATTTTAAGGTTGAGTTGACCTCGGGGAGGCCCAATACCAGTTTCTAATAATCGTCACTGGAGAGAACAAGCCCAAAGGGATGTTCCCTGCGGAGATGGAGCGATGAGATCATTCCCTGGGCAGGAGAGAACGTGGATCGTGGCACTGCAGGGTGCTAAAGGATGCAACTGGTGTGAGGAAACCTTCATCCAGCAGTGGATACACCCATGGATGATGATGATTATGTGTGTTCTGAACTACCGGACATCTGTGAAAAAGAGCTGTCTAGCTCATCAGATTCCTCCAATACAAATACATATTCTGAATGATCTCCGACTGATTCTGAATGAGATGTGTGCACCTTGGCATCTGTCCACGTGGTTCTGCCCCTGGTGCAGCTCCAGTCGGTCCCCCCGATCCTCGTTGTCTGCAAAGAGGGGGTCCTCTCTTAAACGCGAGGTATTGTCTCGTCGCACACAACCCACCAAACACCGATCGTTTGAACGCTCTCCAAATACTCTAACATCGAAAGCATTAGTGCACAAGCTCTCCGTCCATCTCTAACGGCGAGATGCTGTGATTCCATAAAACCGTGACCCGATATGAACAAAACCTCTCTGTGGAGTGGCTCTGCTATGAGGGACGTACCATACTCTTTGGTTTTTTCGGTAATGTCATGTAGGTAAAAAATTAAAATAATTTACATTTTATTCTTTACCTATGTGACTTTACCGAAAAAACCAAAGAGTATGAATCCTTGCACTCACGAAAACTTCAAATCTGGGACGTACCATGTTGAAAACCGGCCACATTGATCAAAGGGGGATTTGCCTCATACTTGGAAGACACAAACAACACAGCAAAAATAAATATTTACAAATATGCGAATGCATTGTTCCCTGACAGCTGGCCATCGGCTTGCGTTACTAATTAAATACTTCAGAGGGCAAACACACATTGGATAGCATTACGTAACCCATGCTTATCCTTAATTGATTAACAATTATTCATAGTAAGGAGGGTTAGGCGGGAAGCGGTGGAGCGGCGGTTAGCACACTTTGCCGTGTACCCGGCCAACTGAGTTCGAACCGCCCCACCGCCACCACCCCACCATTCACGACGTCGCGGCTCACCGGGCAAGCAGGAGCGTCCGTCGGCCTGCAGCCGGTGACGAGAGAAGCAGGCGCAGCGGAACGATCCGGCAGTGTTGACGCAGAGCTGCTGGCACAGCTGCCCTGGGTAGAGCGTGCACTCGTCCAGGTCGTCGGCCGCCCCCGCCTCCGTCTCGCCGAAGCCGGCGCCGCCCGCCAGCGCTGCAACCGCGGAGGGAGAGGAGCGCACCACCACCCCAGGTTCATCGCCACGAGCACGAAGACCGCGTGAGCCACAGCACCGTCGCCTCGCTCCGTCGTCGTTGATGAGAAATGTAATTTGCCGGCCGCTGCCAGGGATCTTCATTCATTCGGTTCTTTCGGTAAAGTCACGTAGGTAGAAAAATAATAGATCACGACGTTTCGATCGCAACACAAGCAATCGTCATCAGGTGGGACAACCACAGCAAGAAAAAACAGCTGTTTTTCACTTCATCAGCGTCAGCCATACGAAAAAGACTGAAGATCAAATCCAGTCAGACACGTGAATAAGTAAATAAATACGAATATAGAGTTTGGAAAAACCACTGCTCTGGTGAATGTAACCCTTTCCCGGTCCGAGAAGTCTGCAAGTTGCAGCGTGGGTCCAATTCACCGCTGAATCTCGGAATGTGCAAGAGGTTAGCGTAAATTTTATCGAGAGAGGCATAGCTCCACTGTTTTTAAATACATTGTACTCACCACAGCGAACTGTAGCGACACGACCGCACTCTACGCTAGATGGTACCAAAACTGTGCCACACGCCCTCCCGCGTGGCCTTTTACGAAAAATTACGACGTACGCGTCCGTCAATCGGAACGGAGAAAAGGGTTAAGTGGTGCCCGCCGGCGTGAAAACGCAAAGGCCCCAATAACCGCAGGGGGACGTTGCGCCAACTTCGGGGCCAACGCTGGCGTGTTTCCCGGCGTGGGGGGGGGGGGGATGTCCGCCGAACCGCACCTTGCGCGTCCGTGGCGGTCTCGGGCTGGCGCGGTCGGCGTGGCCCGGCGCCCTCCCCCGGCAGGGGGATCAGGTTCTGGGCCTCCTCGCAGCAGCCGCGGAACACGCGGCTACACGCGTGGCCCAGCGCCGGCACGTCGCCGCAGCCGTGCCCGCGGATGCGCGCGCGCATGCCCAGCGAGCAGCAGTCGCAGCATTGCTGGTGCCCGGGGTGACCGGCGTGATGGGGGAAGTGAGGGGCCAGAGAAGGCAGAAGAACAACGCGGAGGGTCAGGCACAAGGTGAAAGCGAGCGTCAAAAGGCAGCCATTAGCACAGGTGAATGGCACTGGACAAGGGCTTGGACGTGTTCACGTGTCACCCTTTTATAAAAGGTGGTGGTGGCTGTGGTGGCGGTGGTGGCGGTGGTGGTGAAGGTGGTGAAGGTGAGCATTGTGCTATAGGCGAAAGTGGTGGAGGTGTCGGTGATGAGGTAAAGGTGGTGGCTGAGGTGGCTGTGGTGGTGATGGTTTAGGCGATAGCGGTAGCACACGTGATGGGGTAAAGATAGTGGTCATGGTGATGTAGGCGACAGTGGTGTTGTTGTTGATTAGGTAAAGGTTGCCGTCACGTTGTCGTGTTGTAGGCGATGAGGTAAAGCTGGTTGCCGTGGTGTTGTTGATGAGGTAAAGTTGATTGCTGTGGTGTTGTTGATGAGGTAAAGCTGGTTGCTGTAGTGTTGTTGATGAGGTAAAGTTGGGTGCTGTGGTATTGTTGTTGAGGTAAATCTGGTTGCTGTAGTGTTGTTGATGAGGTAAATCTGGTTGCTGTGGTGTTGATGAGGTAGAGCTGGTGTTGTGGTATTGTTGATGAGGTAAAGTTGGGTGCTGTGGTGTTGATGAGGTAAAGCTGGTTGCTATGGTGTTGTTGATGAGGTAAAGCTGGTTGCTGTGGTGTTGATGAGGTAAAATTGGTTGCTATGGTGTTGTTGATGAGGTAAAGTTGGTTGCTGTGGTGTTGATGACGTAAAGTTGGTTGATATGGTGTTGTTGATGAGGTAAAGCTGGTTGCTGTGGTGTTGATGAGGTAAAGTTGGTTGCTGTGGTATTGTTTATGAGGTAAATTTGGGTGCTAGTGTTGATGAGGTAAAGCTGGTTGCTATGGTGTTGTTGATGAGGTAAAGCTGGTTGCTGTGGTGTTGATGAGGTAAAGCTGGTTGCTGTGGTATTGTTGATGAGGTAAAGTTGGGTGCTAGTGTTGATGAGGTAAAGCTGGTTGCTATGGTGTTGTTAATGAGGTAAAGCTGGTTGCTGTGGTGTTGATGAGGTAAAGCTGGTTGCTATGGTGTTGTTGATGAGGTAAAGCTGGTTGCTGTGGTGTTGATGAGGTAAAGCTGGTTGCTATGGTGTTGTTGATGAGGTAAAGCTGGTTGCTGTGGTGTTGTTGATGAGGTAGAGCTGGTTGCTGTGGTGTTGTTGATGAGGTAAAAGCTGGTTGCTGTGGTGTTGTTGATGAGGTTAAGCTGGTTGCTGTGGTGTTGTTGATGCGGTAAAAGCTGGTTGCTGTGGTGTTGTTGATGAGGTTAAGCTGGTTGCTGTAGTGTTGTTGATGCGGTAAAGCTGGTCGCCTTAGATGCATAAAACTGTAGATGATAGTGGTAGCGTCACTGCTGAGGTAAAGCAAGTTGCCCGTGATGTTGTATACATGTTGAACTTCTTTTTCACCGTACGCAGCCAACCGTGCTAATCGGAGGTGCGGAGGTAAAGGACAACAAACTAAACACAAAACAGCAGTTCTATGTGACTCGGTAAAGTGGCGCTGACCACAGCAGTGGCACAGGCGATGAGGCGAAGACGCTAGTGCAAGTGATAAGGGTGGCTGCCGTTGCGGTGCGGGCGATGGCGGTGGCGTAGGCGACGGGGGAGAAGGACATTGGCGCGGGCGACGGCCGGGCACCTTGTAGAGGTTGGCCTCGCACACGTCGTTGGCGAGCGATGTGCAGGTGCCCCCACTGCGAGCCGCCACCACCCCCGCCTGGCAATTGGCGTCGTGCAGAAAGGCCATGCAGCACTGCTCCTGCACCACCCTGCCTCGCAGACCGCACAAAGATCCCTCGTGAGAGACTTCCAACAGACTGGTGAGGCAAGTGCTGTTAGCGTGGACATATGAAGGCCGGGCAGGCATGGGGATGGGTGGCCAGCACCACGCCTGGCCGTCTTGGTCTCCCGAATGCTGATATTTACGCACCACAACAGGTACTCGTGTTGAGTAGTTCCGACGTACGTACTCGGAGACGGAGGTAAGTTAGGGGCTTCCGCCAGGGTTTATTAACACTTATCCATACTACACAGGGTACACAACTCCCAGGGGCTAGGGGTCCTACTCTGAGTCCGGGTCCCTGCCGGCTAGCTCCGGTCTCTCACCTCTACAGCTACCACCGGCTTCTCCCCAGACTCACTACTCGATCCCTATCACTATCCCTGGTTCCCTCTTCACCCTGTTTACTATCCCCGTTCCTATAGTGACCCCGCTTACGTCACGGGGTATCCCTTAAATACCCTAGGAGGCGTGACGTCACGTGCACTGCCCAGCGCGTGCGACCCCACGTCCCGTGATGTCATCGCACCGGACAGCGCACACGACGCCACCACTCTCCTCTACTCCTCTACACTCGTTAAGGGCTGAGTCAGCCTAGGGGAGGCCCAGGACCGGTTCAGATCTTTTCGTCACTGACGTTGGCCGCGAGCGAGAATAAAACTCGGGTGGCGCAGTGCGCTAACTGCTGTGCTACCTCGCAGGCCACACGTACCATGGCACAGATGCCTCTACGCTCAGCTCAAGTCAAGTTGTATTTGTGTAACCAGGCGAGAACTCAAGATAATGTATCATTTGCGAGAGACCTGGGCGACAGGGTTACCTCTGGCTATATCGACCTGTGGCCCTCTCTAGAACATTCGAGCACCAATGAAAACAACAAGTGTAATTTAAAGCGAGTAAGTGGACATGTGGTGCAGAGGTCAGAGCACCAGGCTGACACTGGTGAGATCTTGGGTCCAAATCCAGACAGCTGACTGGAATTAAACCGGGTTCTCAGGTCTGGTGGAGTTGATGATCTCCTCCCAGTCACCAATGATTGCGTAAAATAAATATATATCACACTAAATTTGGTTCTGCACTTAATTTGACTAACTTTCATCTTTGAAAGAAAAAAATTTCGATCTTGATTTGAAGCTTTCGTGACTGCAGGAATCCATACCCTTTGGTTCTTTCGGTAAAGTCACGTAGGTAGAAAAATAAAATAAAACCAAAAATAATATATCACGACTTTTCAATCGCAACACAAGCGATCGTCCTCAGGCGGAAAAAAATCCAGCAGTGGAAGTGCTGAAACGTGATATATATTTTTCTTTTATTTTTTCTACCTACGTGACTTTACCGAAAGAATGAAAGAGTATAACAAAATATCGATTTTACTTTTATGCGACGAACATTACTTTTGGTGGCAGCGCGGATGGGCACGTGCTGCCCCTCCCCCCTCTGTATCAAACAGAAGTCACTTGAGGACATTTCAGAGGTGGCTCTGCGATATTGCGCTTACGAGGGCTGTTCTCTATCATGGATTGGACGGCTCTGGGAGAGATGTGAATGGAGACTTTATCTCTTGACCTGATGCTGGTATCACAATCCAGGATTCTGTAGTTCTCGCCTGCCATGTCCCCTGCCGTTCAACGAATTGTCATAAATTCAAGAAGAAACGTTTGTCTTGTTTGTATTAGTATTATCTGGACTGTTCCGTCTCCTCTACACTGACTTCCGCTTTGTTCCGTCAATATTGTTTGCGCCCTGTCAGTTCATCGGTCTCGTTTGTTCCATCTCGTTCTAAGACAGCAGTCTAAAGGATAATGTGCAGAACGTTTACACAACTCAGACTACCCAGCAAACACGGGATGGTGGGACATTGGCCCAACATTGGTCCTACGGTTGCAACCATATGCCAACATTGGCACAGCATTGGCATGCTCGCTGTGTGATGCAATGCCAATGCATGCATCGTGGTCTTGAGGACTGATGTTAATTCACGAATCAATGATTCATTGCATTGCCAGCGGAGCAATGCCATCAAACAAACACCGGAGTAAGTTACAGGAGCCCACACAGCCCATCCATGCGTCTTCTCACCCTGGCCAGAAGATGGTGCTATTGGTCCACAATCAAAGAGCTCCCCACAAACCTAAACTACGTACTATATACCAGGTACTTCAAAAACATGTTAACACTTATATAGGAAATATAACGGATAATACACTGTAACATGATAACAAATGTATGTTAATAGCTTCAAAAAGTCAAAAAGTATTCATAATAGAGGTTTTTGGGTTAGATCGTGTTGTAAATATATAAATGTGTCGTTAAAACCCGCCACCACCCGACACAGCCAACTAGTAAGGGTTGTCACGTAAACAGAACGTGGCCAATTCGTCACTAGTACAGCACACCGGTGTGCTGAAGAGCCAGGCCATAACATTTACAAAATGAGTACGACGTTTCGCCAGTAATTACAACCAGCTTCATCAGGCAACAGCCAGATTAGTTGAGAAGTCTTAATGTTTATGCGAGCCCTTTGAACTTGTCATTCCCGTCTGTTGTGTTTATTAAAATAGCCGTACCAACGGTAATCCCTATTGAAGTACGCTGCCCTTTGTAGGCAAGCATTTAAATAATGTATCATTCGATTATTCGCTTCCAAGCAGCACTAAGGCGGTAGCTATCCGAACGGTTAAAGTTATTTTATTTCTTTCAATTTCGATAGATTCTCTAATTAGTCTTGGCAAGTAGTAGCTAGTTTGCACAAAACTTCAACATTATCAAAATCAATTGAGTGTCCTTGTTGGCACGCGTGTTCTGCTACTGCTGACAGTTGTATTTGGGATAATTAAATATTTCTCTGATGTTCTTTTAGTCTCGTGCTGATCATTCGTCCTGTTTGCCCAACATAACATTTACCACATGTGCAGTTAATCCTGTACACACCTTCTCTTGATAGCTTCGGTAATACATCTTTTCTACCAGATATTGATTTCTGTATTTTATGTACCGTGCCAAATCTGACTCGGATGTTTTGTTTTTCTAAACATCTGGCTAGTTTATGAGTTACTCCCGCAATGGACGGTATTTTGATCATTTTAATTACTTGGGCAGTTTCAATGTTCTTGTTATTTGATTTGGTTTTGGTATTCAACGCCCTGTTGATTTGTGTATCATTGATTTGTGCATCATTGTAACCGTTCATTTGCAGCGCTTCTTTAACGTGTTGAATGTGCTGTACTAGTGACGAATTGGCATATTCTGTTTACGTGACAACCCTTACTAGTTGGCTGTGTCGGGTGGTGGCGAGTTTTAACGACACATTTATATATTTACGCGATCTAACCCAAAAACCTCTATTATGGAGTCTCCACTTGTTCGCCATAATTGTCAACACGTGCCTGGAATCTTCTCCAGGTAGTCTCCAGAGCCCGGAGGCAGTTTTCTTGTGATATTGTTGGAAATTCTCAGAAGTGTTAAAAAATGTTGAAGCACCCTGTATATAAAAGTGAGCTTCACTAATTTTCAGAGAGCCACATTCACCAATAAGACATCAATGACAGATGCAGATACCTGATGCACAAAATGTGAAATTTAAAACTCCCCAGGAGCATGCGACTGTGGTCACGCAGAACAGACCGTATAACGACGCAATGCCCGATCCACAGTACGAAGGAGACATCGCGGCGATGCCGCTCCGCTGCTCCTGACGCGGTTATCTGGCTAGACCAACCTGAACGTGAAATTGTAGTGGTTGCTCTGCATCTACAGTGAGGGAAAAAAGTGTTTGATCCCCTGCTGATTTAGTACGTTTGCCCACTGACAAATAAATGATCAGTCTATAATTTTAATGGTAGGTTTATTTGAACAGTGAGAGACAGAATAACAACAACAAAATCCAGAAAGACGCATGACAAAAATGTTATAAATTGATTTGCATTTTAATGAGGGAAATAAGTATACTTATTTCCCTCATTAAAATGCATTGTTCAAATAAACCTACCATTAAAATTATAGACTGATCATTTCTTTGTCAGTGGGCAAACGTACAAAATCAGCAGGGGATCAAATACTTTTTTCCCTCACTGTATATTTGTCGGGGGCCACACTAAAGGCCATCAGGGGCCATCAGTGGCCCGTGGGCCTTGCAATGAAGAACACTGATATATATATACTTCACTACATAACGATAATAAAAACAATACTCGTTTACAGCACTTTGTCAAAACAGTACACTTCCTGGTGAAGGTCTCCTCACGCTGTGTTAGTCATGGACGGTTGATTGTGTGACCATACTTCAGCAAGCTGATCAGTGTGAGTCGGGTCAAGCGCGCATCCAGGACCGGCTCAGATATCACTCACCAATGATGTTAGCCCTAACTGGGAATCAAAACTCAAGAAGCCGGGTTCCAAAACACAGCATGCTAAACGCTGCACCACCACTCCTTCATTCTGTACCCTGAGTCAAGATCAAGTGAGCTAAGCAGTGGGTTGAATGTTTTTTATTGTCTACAGATGTCTAGCTACAGCGTGTAACATTTTAATAACATACTGTATAGTATACATAAGCCTGCTATAAAGCAGCAGGCTCTACTGCCCACGAGAATGTAATACATTGGCATTGGATGCTTCATACAGCAGTGCGTTTGGCCCTAATGTAGTGGCATGGCGTGGTTGGCATGGGGCACTGGGTACAAGCAATGAAATGGGACCCCTGTCCAGCGTGAACCCCTTATTCGTAGCCCAGCACCTGAGCCGCTTTGGCCATTGGGCCCCGGTGCAGTTGCACTGCCTGCACAAATGATAGCTAGGCCACTGTCCCTAACACTCAGGACATTGGGCATTTGCACTTTATTTTCTCAGCTTTGTTTGAATTTTCTTTGGCTCCAAATTAATCCCGGACTCGCTGTCTAGAAACGTCGGTGTCTATTTACGATTCGCATGGGGCGGTTGCAGACGTTCCGGGAGGAGACGCTGCTACCGACGAGACATCGGATTCAAACCCAAGAAGATCTCAGCAGTGTCGACTCAGCATCTCTCTGATCCCCCAAAGCTACCCAGCAAGCTCCTGGACTAAGCCCCAAATGAGTACCTGGTGCGGTGTGTAAACATCGCCACTGGGGAGACATAGACGGTCGGGCGTGGTGTTGGCCACACACCCCCTCGTGTGCTGTGCCGGCCTTCATAGGTGCTACTCGCTAACATCACTTTCCCCAACAATCTACTCAGGCTATACAGGGGATCGTTGTCTTTGGCTTTGTGTCACTCTGCTCTTCTTTTCCATCGGGCATCATGTTTTTTTGGCCGACGATGAAACTGGTGGAACGTTATCCTCCTCTCTGTGTCTGGTCAGGGCGATCGCTTCCTGCAGTGCTGCCCTTTCCTCTCTCGAGGCCTTCTTTATACGTCGACGCACGCATTTACTGCTGTGCATTCATTGTATGTCTTCATAAGAAGGTGGCAACGAGGGGCGTGTGGTCTGTGCGCAGTGGAGTTCTCTGCGCCTACCGCTGCTGGGGGGGGGGGGGGGGGGGGTGTGTGTTGAACTTCTTTTGCCCCGTACATAGCCAACCATGGCTAATCTGAGGTGCGGGGGAAATACAACAAACTTAACACAAAAAGCAGTTCTAAGCAAACTAGTTTTCAATCTAAGTCATTTAAAAGTACATAGCTCCAGTGGCTTCCGAATATCGGAAGGAAGAGCGTCCCAGACGGCTACAGAAGCGCATCTGAAAGCGCGCGATGCAGTGACCGTATTTTTGGGGGGCTGGCGGTGGTGGTGAGAGATGAGACAAAAGTGGTGGGGGGGGAGGGGAGGGGGGAGTGATGCTGCACCTGCAGTCGTCTGCCCCCTGTGCCCCGGACATGGGGATGTTCCCGCAGCGACCCGTCTCGGCTGCCCACTGCTGCCCCGCCGCGCAGCAGCTGTGGATGAGCTCCTCCGGTGAGGTTACTGGCAACACCGCTGCAAACACACACACACATACACGTGTGGGAACACTGTCACATGAGTAAACTCACGCAGCTATAATAACCACGATGCTTATTTACCCAGGAAGGCCACACTAAGTCTGGGAACTGGATGAAATGAAAATACAAACTCGGCGCAGAGAGGTGCCAAAGTCAAGAATCTAAACCAGACCCTTCTTGCTGTGACCACTGCGACAACCCGGACTCGTTTAAAGTCAGGGAACAAACATTGACATGAACTCAACACATTCGCCAATAACCTGGCCCTGAAGATGAAAATAAACATATCATAGGTGACGTTTTAGACAATATATCCTCTTTATAAGGCTGTGGACCTTCCCATTGCAGGCTGTTATTTGTGTTTGTGCACCACTGCCAAAGCAGGATCGTGCCGCGGTGGCGAGATGTTAACTCCCTCGCCTGGTATGCAAGTGGTTGTGGGTTAGATTCCGACTCGTGACGCCTGCATATTTGTAATTTGTATGTCTCTATTCCCGTGGTCACGTAGATTTTTCGCCAGGTCCTCTGGTTTTTCACTCCACATTTAGAAACATGCATTTAAAGTATTTGGCTGTTGTACATTTCCACATAAGCCACTTCGTTCAGCTATCATTTGTGGCCAGCTTGCTTCCAAAAAAAGCTATATATCTCAATGGGTTTTTTCTTGTAAAATAAAACGTATTTTCGTTTAGTTTTGTCATTTTTGCACCTTGAGATCCTGGGTTCGAAACCAGGCAGCTCCCCATTATGAAACTGAGTTCTTGAGTGAAGGGAGTTTAAGATCTCTGCCCGGTGACCAATGACTGCACACACACAAAAAAACTACCATGTTAAATCTAATTCAGCTGAATTCCTAGCCCTGAGAATGAAAAACATCGGTCGGGATGTCAAAATGTGACGAACATTACTCTCCGTGGCAGGGCGGGTGGGAAATTGCTGCTCCCTGCTGCTATGTAGAACAGAGGTCACTTGAAAAGGGATGTCAGAAGTAGTTTTGAGATATTCACTTCTATGGTTCGTTCGCTGACTGGAAATATTCTACCGCTCCGCGAGGGATGCAAATTTATTCTGCGTTTGATCACAAGATGTAGCACAATCATTGTACATTTCAATTGGGAGGGGGGTGGGAAATAAAGAGGGGGGTGGCTCTTATCTGACAAACAAGACCTGTAAAAGAACACACGTTTGTAAGTATTATGTTTAGGCTTGTTTACCCAGGAAGGTCCTCACTGAGTCTCAAGATTCCTTTACAGGAGAGTCCTGACAAGTGTTTGCTGCAGCTGGTGGCGATGTTTCTCGGTGTGCAATCTCAATTGAGTGATTTTTTCAGGACATATTTTCGGCACTGGGATATTTTGGTCAATACCGGTGACATTGTATGGTGGGTTTTTTTTGTCATGGGAAGAAACCAGAGAGCCTGAAGGAAACCCACGCAGAGCAGGGGGAGAAAGCACGCAAGCTCCACACAGAAAAGGCACCCGAGTCGGGAATCGAACCCAGGCTCCTTTATTCTGAAAAATGTTATCAGTTCATCAAAATGTTGTCGTTAATTTGACACTAAACAAAAATCAATCACCTTCAATATGAACACTATCTTATCAAGCAAAAAACAACACAGGGAAGGAGCAGAAGTGATTTCTCCGCTCTGATGGTTGTGACAGGGAAAGACACTTATGCTGCCCCTCCCTGTATACTCCACACTCATATTTCAGGCCCCCTCTACTCCAAAGTGGAAGAGAAAAATATGCAGCGGGCTAACACTGCCACCTCCATCCTTCATAGCGGAAGGTTCACTGCTTGAAATGTCAGCCGGCCGACTGTATTTTTTGTGGGGTTGCAAGGCAGTGTTAATAATAAAGGACATGATTTTTGTCGCGATCATATAACTGCCAATGCAGGAGGTTTTTTTTTTTTTTAAAGTGACACCATCTTACAATTGCTTTGGAATGTACAAGTTCTACCAGTCGGGTTTCGGCACTATCTCATAAATTGGCTAAGATTACTGCCTGGTGGGAGGGCTAAAGGAGTGATTATCTATTTTTGTGACGTATGTTATGAAGAAGGGCCATTTCCCAAAACATTGCATGTTACATAATTGTTCCTTTTAAGGACCACAGTGTTATTGATTGCGGTGTTGAGTTTTTGTTATTTGTGCTTATGCACCGCTGCCAATGCAGTATCACAAAAATATTCTAATAATGTAAACGTAGCGCGCGGTCTCTAAATGAGAGACCCCATGTAATATTACATGGCCTTACATGGGATTAAAGTGTAAACTTTAGTGAAGGGGAAAAGATCACATCACAATGAAAAATCAAATCAAAGTTTTTGAACTTTCCAACATTGGCAACCACAAACCTTGAAATGAAATCGCTCACATTTAGAGTAATTTTTTTTCAATTGTTTTTGTAGAATCTGCCAAGGGTTCTGTTTTAGAATGGAGAGCTGAGAAAGTGCTTCTCGAACCCGAATACATCTCAAAGATGGATTATGTCCTCAGTTTTATTAATCGTGACCTGTACCATAAAATTGCAAATCACGGTCCAAAGTAAAGTTAATTACTTTTGGAGTTACTACGAGGAAGTCTGGCCAGGACTCTTTTTTGTTTGCTCTCAATAGTTTTTTTTTTAAACGATTTGTCAACCGCTCCGATAAATTACGACGCTCATGCGCAACACAGTGTGGGGCCCTCTTAGGCCGAGCGAGCGTTCCAGCGGGACACAAAAGCCAGGCTGAGCTTTAAAAAAAACGCTCCTCAAAAATAACTTTTCATTCGGCTGTACAATATTTCTGCAGAAAGAAAGTGCGCATGTGGTATTTTGGTTTTTACAACAAAAAAAACCCACCCCAGCTCCACACAAAGCCCGACTGAGCTTCGCGAGTACCCAAGCCAAGAATCACAGATGGAAATGAAAAAAAACAGAAGGGAGTTCAGATCTGCTGCCTTGAACACGACAGGCATTATAACTTGAGGGAGCCCCGATTCATCCGTGAAAGTAAAAATGTTTTTAAAGACGACTGCAGTAAAAACTAAGACCACCCACGTGTACCTCCTCTACCTGAAAGCCCCCTTGACCACACAGGTCAGGGCGCTTGCTCTCACCGAAGCAGCAGCTTGCCAAAGAAACATATTGCCGGGCATTTCCTTAATTCATCAAGCTGCCACCTTTGCCTCGTAGCAGCCCGCGTGACCCCGGCGTCTCGCAAGGGACCGCCCCGAGGTCGACAGCGGCGCGTCTGCGTCCTCTCAGGGTGATGGCGCTCGAGCGGAGCGTGATAAGGTCCGTAGAGTACGTGAGAGGGGGGGTGCGGGGAGGGGGCGCCTTGGCTAGAAAAACCACCACGTGCTCGTGTCACCTCGACTTGCCCGATTCATCGCCGATGACGATCGAGCCAGGGGGCATCTCCGTAGCTCGCGTCGTAACTTACAGGTTTAAAGACGAAGAGAAAATCAGCAAACTCATTTGAGAACGTTTCACTTATGATGACAAAGACAAAGATCGCCCGTATAGCCTGTTCAGACTGTTGGGGCAAGTGCTGTTAGCGAGCACCTATAAAGGCCGGCACGACACACGAGGGAATGGATGGCCAGCACCATGCCCAGCCGCCTTTGTCTCCCTCCTGGCGATGTTTCTGCACCGCATCAGGTACTCATTTGAGGCAGAGTCTACCTAGGGGAGGCCCAGGACTGGTTTAGATAATCGTCACTGGTGTTGGCTGTGAGCGGGAATCGAACTCGGGCCACCAGGTTCGTAGCGCAGCGTGCTAACCACTACACTACCACTCCCCACTTCTGACGAGATCGCACGCCCCACACACACGCACAAAAGACAAAGATCTCCTGTAGAGCCTTGAACAGACTGTTGGAGCAAGTGCTGTTAGCGAGTAGCACGTCTGAAGGCCGGCACGGCACATACGTGGGTGGGTGGCCAGCATCAGGTCCATGATCTCTGTCTCACCACTGCGCCAGGTACATGTTTAAGGTTGAGCTGATCCAGAGGATGACCAGGACTTGTTCGGTCGGATATCACGAGCCACTGGTGATAGCTGTCGCTGAGATTTGAGCTCAGGTCACTGGTTTCGTAGAGCAATCTGCTGATCACTGCGCCATCGCTCCCCACAAACGTACATAGGCACACACGTGTGCATTGGGCACCATTACTGTTTCATTACTTTGGCAGCAACTGCTCTTTACAGGCACCACTCCGCGCCAACATGTTTCAGTTTTTTTGGACTGTTAATGTGAGTTTGCTACAAAACCAAACAAATCTGGCCTCATTCGTTGGCTAAAACCCATCAGACTCCGTCGGCCCGTTCGATCCATCTCCCCCTGCTCCCTGTCAGAAGGCGTTTTATTTCTCTCCGCTTACGAAAAAAATCTGGCCGCAAACTAAAAAAAGGCCACTAAAACGGTATATTTGGTGAAGAAACTTCTCCAAAACCATATTCCAACCTCATTCGTCTACGTAGCCACGATCTGCGTAATCCACGTGCCCCACATCATCCGCCAGGAAACTATAGCCGCTGGCGCGCCGAGGGCAACATCGCCACATCTAAGTTACCGCCACCGCCGCCACAATCGCGGCCACCGATACCACCGCCAATACCACCACCACTGACACCGCCGTCACATACGCGGCCACCGATACCACCGCCAATACCACCACCACCGACACCGCCGTCACATACGCGGCCACCGATACCACCGCCAATACCACCACCACCGACACCGCCGTCACATACGCGGCCACCGATACCACCGCCAATACCACCACCACCGACACCGCCGTCACATACGCGGCCACCGATACCACCGCCAATTCCGCCACCGAAGCCGTTACCTGCACACGCGATAAGGAGCTGCGAGACCCAGAGCGCAGCGAAGGCCTGCGGAGCGAGACCCATCTTGGCTACGTTTGTTCTGAGCTTGGGGCCGCGAGAACGCAGAACGCGTGACGGAACGCCGGGTCCTGCTGCTGCTGCTGCGGTGGTGCT